AGTCTCAGTTCGCGATTCTAAAAAATGTCTTGGCAGTCAATCAGGTCAGTTCACTACCTCCAGACTGACAGTTTGAACCGCAAAGATGAACTGACAACTGACTGATTGACTGATAGCAACTCTGGATCAGTGTAAGGGCCGCCCTTCTACTTCCAGCATACTCTTCATTTCGGCCCCCATTACACTGCCTTCACTAGGATTTTGTTTGGCGCCAGAGCCTATCGCTGGTGATTATGGGCTGCAGGACACTAGCCTATACGAGGGAGCTTGCTAGCTTTATGCGGCCTCACATGTATCCATGTCAGCAATCGCCATGGATGGGACCACCATGGATGGGATTCTCAACTTTGCTCCAGACCTCTGGGTAAGATAACGTCCCGCCTTACCTACGGCCTTCCGGCCATTGTCATCATGTGGATCGGATGCGACACTACCTCTCGGGTATCCACCAAGACATTTGTGGTCTTATTCTGCGGCTCTGGCTTTGGTGGCAACCTCTCACCATTGAGTCGTGCCGGCTGTATTGCTTAAAAAAGGCCTAGGCAATCTAGTTTAACTTCGATGCTGCGACCAAGCCCGGGCGTTCTTGAACGGCAAGCGGTCAGGTAGATCTATGCCTTCGGCTTGGTTGTTCTGCTTCCGGCCTTGTGTGTACACACCCTAGTGAACAGGATTACTGTCGAAGCTCGAGTAATCCCAGCCTCGCCAAAGAATTCGTATGCCCAGATGCTGCCGTCATATGCAGGCCGGTTGTTAGCTTCGTCATCGTTTTATAGTTACCCGTTCCTGCCTACTTCCTTCCCCTTCCCGAGCCTCCAGCCCATCTTCCGTCGCAAGGTATGTGATGCTCCCTTTGGTACCCCATTCTTGTTGTTCTTGATCTTTGTACTATTTCAATTGGAGACGAAGGCATCTCCTCGCGAACAACACTACATCCATTTTGTCGCGAGAGCATGGACTTTGTTCTGTTTATATAGCGCTTCAATCCCTCTAAAACCCCATCACGTGTCTAACTTACTTATCCAGCTCCAAGCCGTGTGTCATTCGTTCAACCGGCGTAGCAGTCTGTCGCTTCAAGATGCGCACTTATTGGCCTCTCTTTCTGGCTTTGACCGGGTCAGCTCGCGGACAATATAACAGTACAGTTCTGGGTGCTCAAGCCACGCCATCACCGCCCTCGTCTTCAGCGGAAGCTGCTGAGGAGACCTTCCAGGCGCAAGGTGGAGGTTATGGCCAGGGCAGCACTTGCAAGACCACAAGCACGATATACGAATATGGAAAGCCTTCCACCTCTACTATCAAAGTTACTGTCACATCACCTCAGACATGCCCAAAGCCGGTCACCAAAACCCAGACTGTCACCTCGTCGCAGGGATACGGTGGCGGCTATCCTGTAACTGTCACAGTCACGTCTACGAAGGAAGTCACCAAATCTGCCGGAAACAATCCTTCCCCACCAAAGACAATCACTGTCACTTCTACGAAGGAAGTCACCAAATCTGATGGGTACAACACTCCCCCCAAGACGATAACTGTCACAACTACCAAGTCTGGTTATATTACGGTCACTTCTCCTGGATACTGCGCAAACCCACCTCCCATGACTACTACAAAGGTATGTTTGCCCTTGAGTTGTACTTGAACACATACTGACTGAGAAAGACCAAAACTCTTACTGAGTCAGCATCTTGCCCTGTTAAGCCCCCCGTGACCGTGACTCAGGTGAACAACTCCACCATCACAAAGGTACTTTCCCTTCTCGCAATGATTCCAGGTCATCACTGACAAACTAGACCGAGCATGAAACCGTTACGGGGCCCACGACAACAATAAACAACACTATAACTCAGCTCACAACGCTGACACTGACTTCGACAGTGGTCACAGTAAGTAGTCTCCAGGAATTTCTTTTGGCTTGTTGGCGCTCTACCCATCCCGATCACATGCCATGGTGTCGCTTGCTTGTTCCAATCATTCCACCTGCCGCCTCTCTGTCCAACCGCAAGTCGCTTGAGTCCACTAACATGCTTACAGCTGGTCCCAACTACCGAAATCAGTTACACAACGACTACAGACTACAAAACTAAAACGGAAACTGATACTACCACAAAGACCGATACTACAACGGAAACCGACATCACCACGAAGAGTGACACCACCACGAAAACCGACACCACCACGCAGACTGACGTTTCTACTACGGTCAGCATCTCTACGTCTACCTACACCTCTGTCACCACTTACTCTACTACACTCACCGAGACTAGTACGCTGACACTACCGGGAACCACTTCTGTCACAACAGAGACAGTCGTCTCTACAGTCACGGCAACGCTTACCCTGACTGACTACATTTCCGTGACGCAGACTGTTCCTGGACCGACTGTGTCAATTCCAGGCCCAACAGAGACTACAGTGCAGACAGTTTCAATCCCTGGTCCAGTACAGACAGTATCAGTGCCTGGGCCTGTCGAGACGGTATCAGTACCTGGACCAATCGAGACCATCATCAGTTTCCAGCCGACAACGACAACAGAGAGGATCAGCATAACGACAACCTCTCTCACAACTAGTATATCTACTTCAGTGTCAACTTCGACAACGACAGAGTTCATTGTGACTACTTTTACTCAATCTGGTACCACAATCACTAGTACCGAGACAGTCACCTCTGAAGTGTTGATCACGACTACGTTCACGCAGACTCTGCCAACAACTGTGGTTTTGACATCTGATCGAACTTTCACCCTCACAACTCCAGGCCCTACGCAGACCGTCGAAGAGACCGACACCGTTACCACGACAGTTGAAGAGACGGATACTCTTACTCAGACAGTAACCGAGGTGTCCACTTCACTCAGCACTCTGACCCTGCCACCACAAGTCATCGTGACTACGACCACCCTCGAGGGTGAGACTTCAACAATCACAACTCAGCTCCCGCCTAGCACGGTAGTATCAACGATCGTGTCGACTCTCACTTTCCCGCAGGTCACAGTGACTTCTGTCAGCGTCTCGCCTCCTGAGACCGTAATAGAGACATTTACACAGCCAGGTCAGATTACTACCACGACTTTGACTCTTCCCGGAAGTACGACAACGTTCACGACGCAGCTCCCTGCAAGTACTGTGCTTTCTACCATCACTCTACCTGGCGACATCACAACCACCACCGTACAGCTTCCGGGCACTACATCCGTTATAACCACTCAGCTTCCTGCGAGTACTGTAGTTTCTACCTTGACGCTACCAGGCGATGTTGTCACTTCCACAATTCAGCTTCCAGGAACTACTTCCGTGGTCACGACTCAACTTCCCGCGAGTACCGTAGTTTCGACACTGACGCTGCCTGGCGAGGTCACGACATCGACTGTCCAACTTCCCGGAACTACATCTGTGATAACTACCCAACTTCCCGCGAGCACCGTGGTCTCGACAGTAACGCTCCCGGGTGACGTAGTCACTTCCATGATCCAGCTGCCTGGAGAAACCTCCATCGTGACTAGCCAGCTACCAGCCAGCACTATTCTCTCGACGATAACTCTACCTGCTGTCACTTCTACGGTGATCAGCCAGTTGCCGGGAAGTGTTTCGACAAGTACCCAACTAGCAACTGTCACCTTACCGGGATCGACAGTTTTGAGCACTATCTCCCTTCCAGGCTCGACCTCGGTATCTACTGTAACCTTACCTGCAACGATATCGGTCTCTACTATCCTGATTACCCAGTCATTCGTTACCACTCAAGTTCAGCCTACGACAATTGTGCAGACGTTGACCCCGAGCTCATCCTCCACGACGCCTGCATCTATCTCTTGCTCTAGCGAATGTCAGATCAGTGTTACCGCGACCATACTAGAGTATCCTGGAACGGTTGTGACTAGTACTACGTTCATACCAACTGTCACTCTCGAGATCTACACAAATGATGCGCAACAGGATGTCAGCTCTTCCCTTGTCACCAACCCACTACCGCCTCAAACACCCACTACAATTACTTGGGAGTACTCTGGCGTGCCCCTGACTTACCCTACAACGTACCTGGCCTACGAAACATTCAGCCATCTTGAGGTTGAGGCGGTAGGGTCGGCTTGCGTTACTGAAACCGACACGTTGACATTGCCAGCACCTACGAACTACGCTTCCCTTATTGTGCCCTTGAGCGAGGTTCCTAATACAGCATTCGTAGCGCCGACGGTAGTCGACTATCTGAACCAACAGCCAACCATCACTGCTCAGCTTGGCCAGACTATTGGTCCAGATGCATGTGATCCAGCGTCCGGTGACGGGGGTTTTGCGACCGCCGTTCAATCTCCACTTGGGACTACCACTGCTTTAATAAGCCAAGAAGCCCTCTTTACAGCAACTGTTAAAAAGCCGACAGCACAGTCCCAGGTTTTGCCATCTTCTGAAGCTCCAGCCACTACAAGCACAGCACCAACGAGCAGTGCTGCTCCCCCAAGTTCAGTGCCGCCACCACCTCCCCCAACTTCAAGTAGGCTACCCCCTCCACCTCCTTCTTCCAGCGCAATTCCAGTTCCTAGCAGCTCGCCACCACCTCCATCGAGCGTGGCACCACCACCTAGTAGCCAAGCGCCATTGCCATCTAGTACTGTTGTCCCACCATCCAGCGTTGCGCTCCCACCGACAAGTATCGCGCCTCCGTCAAGCAGTATTGCTGACTCCGCATCTGAAGGTCCATCGCCATCTCCCATTCCCTCGTCGTCTGCCTCGCCTCCACCCCCCGAACCATCAACGGTTCCTGAACCATCGACCGTCGTCGAACCTTCTTCCTCATTGGAAGCTCCCTCTTCTGCGCCTCTCTCCTCGATCCTGGTATCAAGCCGCACGTCTACGCGCTCGACTACTACTTCGGAAGGCAGCTCATCTGTTTCTCAGAGTTCAATGTCTGAGTACACTGGAGGTGGTGCCTTGCCAACAGGGCATATCGCAGGTTTACTCCTCGGAGCTGCGGGCCTTGGTCTGGGGCTGTTCTAGTCGCTTGATTGGGAAAGTAAGGACCAGTAAATACTTTTCAATGTTTGATGTTTAATGCAATAATGCTCGACAATGGGCTGGTGCACACCTCTACGGATGTGTTGGATGTAATGTTAGGCTCAACAAAATGCTTCATTTCTACCAATCTAATATGTGAATACCCTTCCATCTCATGTCACGAACATATTGCTATATGCTGAACTGCTGTATCGTCTCTGCTAAAATTACTTACCATATGAGGTAGTGGCCGTCCCTACGCTCTTTCCACAGCAATCCTCCGTCCTTGCCCCACTTCGTGCCCTCTCCTCCAAAACCCAACAACCTTATCTCAGCCTTGCCGTACCCCTCACCCCCTCAACCCAAGTGACATCCATCAGATCCAAGCCTCCAATACTACCATCCAGCTTAGCATCTTCATCTACAGCGTTCATCCAAGTACAAACGCAAGCTAGACGTGCAAGCCAAGCTTTTCCCTTCAGCTGAGTTGTTGAGCGCCACAGACAAACGCCACCAGATGCGGAGATGGGCCGATGACCACCCAAATCCCGGATCCGTGGAGCGACGTTGACCTGCGAGGCGACCCGCGCATGCAACATTCTCGGTGCGGGTTCGCCGGATATGGAAGTAGCGGCCGAGTACGAGACCGTTGGGCGTTGTTGGTGGTGTTCTGTGGGCTGAGCTTGGCTCTGGTCCTTCGAACAGCACATGTTGCTTGGCGTCGGAGAGGTGATTGCGAGGGAGGTGTAGCGATCGTGAGTGGGGATATGGGAAAAGTAATACTGATACAGCACTTGGCATTCTGCGCGGTTGACGTGAGTCGTGACGACGCATGCCATTATGGCGATTTGATACGTCGATTTCACTTTCCCGGATGGATAAATGTCAAGCTCGAAGCCTTGATATCGAGGACGATTCCGAACACCCAATCCTGGGTTGGTGTGGCTACAATTTCGCAAAGATGTGAACGCCATGAATAGCAAAACGAAGCATTAACATCCCGCAGCTTTGGAGGTTAGCGAAAGAGCCAGCCGGAGACACATTAACCAACTCCGTCGTGGTATCTGGCCGCACGACGCCTTTCATATGAGCAACGTAAGTTCTAGGGTCCAGAAATTTGCAACGTGTACAACTCTCTTGAAGCTATGGGTATGGATCAATGAGCTACAACGACGGCAGCAGCGACAAAGGTGTTACCGATCTTCTTGTATCACTGAGGAAGGCCGTGGGCGTACGTCATGTTTGTGGTATTGGTCCTGGCATGTGTGTCCAAGAATGCGCTCTTGATCGCATATCCATGAGCCAGCATGGTGAGACTATTTCTGGTGACCGTTGCAAGTTCCTCCTAGCAGTTCGAACTTGTAGACTTGCACATGAGATCTGGGACGGTTCATCGTCAATGATACTCTGCAACTCTTGGATGATCTGGCAAATGCTTTCTTCTTAAATTTGACGACACATGAGTGGTCTTCGAACAATCTTGCATACTGTTCCGACACCGTTGCTTAGCACTCTTTTTGTCTCATGTCTGCTTCCTTCTTGAGCTTTCGTAGCTTGGCTTACCTTGCGTTGAATCTACCACGACATGGCAGTAGCAGTTTCCCAGACCTTTGCGTTTTCTTTTCCGGCCTGTCGAGTCAATCAATTCATCCAAAGTCTTACCGCCTCTGTTCACAATCGCGGTGTCGGTGGAAGCTCCCATATTGAGTGCCACCTCACACGCCCGCATATGTACATCGACTTCGTCTTCGCCTCCGATCTCCAATGCGGTTAAGTACATGGTCTCAATAGATAAAGCGTTGCCGGCTATGTTGACAACGCTTTGTTGCCCTTCCACTTCCTAGAACGCATCGTCTGCGTCAGGCAATCGGATCAAAATAGTGGCCGGTCATTCGTGACAGTTGTCTGATGTCCCGCTGCGGAATAGGCCAACAATAGTCCATCCTACAATCCCTCCCTATTCTTATGTACATATGAATCTGATCACATCTCTTTAGCAGCTGTAGTAGATCTTGAGCGCTTCCGCATTTGTTGTTCGGATCTCGCTAGTGATTACGTCTAATAGGCGGTCAGTATATCTCAACGTGTCATAGAATTTGTATTGGTTCTTTGATTGCTTCCTCATGGCGACTCTAGTTGGGAATCTTTTGATGAGACTGGCAGAGGTTAGAGGACGTTTTTTGACCAGTATCGAATTTACAGGGCGATTTGAAGTGTGCTACGCAGAATTCTGCGCACTCCTGTCAGATGCTGATTGTTTAGAAGAGGACGTGTCTTGCGCGGGTTCTGCTTCTCTATGTGCGTTCTCCTGCTGCTCTCACTGTTTCCCGGAACTCATGGTGTTGGATTCTCATATTAGTTGAGGTATAGTGAAGAATAGTGAGAGTACTCGATCATAGCGCTGTTAGAGCTTGCGTCGAAAGTTTTACGGAGCTTGCGTTTAAGGTCCTGTGGAGAGTCGTGAAAGTTGAGCGGAAGATCGAGAGCCGGAAGATATGAGCAAGCGCGTGTGGCCTTTACTATGATAGGAAGATACTCTGACTCTTCAATCAGCGATAATGGCATGATAGGTACCAGCGACCAAGCCTATTAGAGTATCTAGCTGTAGAGAGTAACGCGCAAGGTGGAAGTTTCATCGCTCCGACAGAAAACCTATATTCGATAGTGATATGCTAGATAGAAAAAGTACGAAGAAAAACTTATCATGTATCACGACTAACCATAGAAGGATTATTATACTGTTGGAAGCATGAAAAACGACGACGATTCAGGATAGGTTTGCGTTCGTAAAAAGTCCAATAGTGATCGTGGCGCCAAAACGGTTTCAGACTTCGCTTTTGAAAAGGTGGCTGGAAGGATGAAGATAGGAGAGAAGGAAAGACTAGGAGAAGAAGCGATTCAAAGTTCTCGAAGTTCAGACGTGTGGCAACAAACACGATATCCATTCGAGATGTGAGGATTCATATACACACTGCTCTCAAAAACGCAGGGTCGATAGCTATGCTTTTACCATACTATCCATACCTCTCCAATACTTCCGCAATCTTTTCCCTCACGCCCTGCTTTCCCTCATACTTCTCCAATAGCTTAGCAACAACATCCTCTCTCTTCTGTCCACTGGCTTCTCTCAGAATCTCTCCCTCCTTCGGCAGTCCAATCCACGCGTGCGGGTACTCTTTGTAATCTGTCTCGCTAATCAGAGGCAATGGCGCTCCTTCACTTCCAGCAAAGAAAGCATCCACATCGTTGTTCTTAACGTCCTGCAGAGTGTTGGGTTTCCAGTTTGGACGCTCCTTCTTGCGCTCTACCAGACGTGCTGTTACGCCCTCGACGAAATCGGGGTGAGCCATGAAGCGGGAGGCGATGTCGTATTCTTTCTGGAAGGTTTGGGCGATGGACCATTGGCGGCCGATGCGCATCTGACGGAGAGCTACAGAGACAGAGATTGGCGACCGGCTGTTGATAGTCTGAATAGTCTTGTCGGCCCACTTCTGGATCTCCGGATCGTTGTGCCCAGTCTTGACCTGCTCAAGCGATTCCATAATGTTGCTGATACCCGGCTGGTCGTCATGGAAGACGGTGTCGATGACCTTGCGCAGTTCGCCCGAGATGTGTGGTCGCTCGGCGGGAAGGCCAGTGCTGAACTCTTCAATTGTAGCGTTGATGATCTTGAAGCGCTTGTTGAGATCCATGTAGTCGGGGAATTGTAGTTCGGCGAGACGCGCCTCGAGTTGCTGGAGAGTGGAGGAGTGAACGTAGTGGGTTGCGATGCCGTGGTAGAAAGCGTCCACGCCCTTGAGCTGCTCAGATGTGAGGGCGAGATACGTGCCGAGAGCGCCTTCCATTCGAGGAAGGAAGAAGGATGCGCCGACGTCTGGAAAGAAGCCGATGGTCGTTTCGGGCATGGCGAAGAGGGTGTTCTCGGTCGCGATTCGGAAGGGTGCGTGTATCGAGAGTCCAACACCGCCGCCCATTGTGATGCCGTCCATGAAGGCGACATAGGGCTTTGTGTATGTTGCGATGAGGTGATCTAGCTTGTATTCCAATCCAAAGTAGTCTGAGCTCATCTGTTGTCCTTTTGCTCCTTCCTTGTTCCACTTTGCCAGGGCAGCGACGTCTCCTCCCGCGCAGAAAGCGCGGCCGTTGCCCTTGATTATAACGACGCCCGCCAGTTCCGACTTTGCCCACTCTTGTAACCTCGGTATGATCTTGCGGGCCATGGAGCCATTGAGCGAGTTCAGCTTCTTCGGCCGGTTGAGCTCGATGCTGCGTACGCCGTAGTTGTTGGTGAAGATGACATCATCGGGGTCATCGTCTTGCTGCGCTTTGAGAAGGTCTGCGGTGGGTGTGGCGTACTGTATAATTGTCAGGTCTGGTCGCGTATAGTGGGCTGGAGGGGCGGCTGTACCTTCCTTGACCCGCTCATCCAGGCTGGATTTGTGATCTTTGCGCGCAATGGCATGGCTTTTGTCGTGCTTATCCGCGAGACGCTGCTCAGCGGCGTTCTTGTTAATGTGCGGAGAGACATGTGTGCGTGTGTAGATGAATGCGCGACGATGATGCAACTTTCACAGCTTCTGCCGACGAACCTCGGGTAGTCGCGCAAGACGGCTACAGGACAACCAAGTCGTCAATTGATCTGTTCTAGCAGAGGGAGAGCACGTGGGAAGCCCGAGAAGATATCAGTCTGAAAGTTGACATATATTTACCGGCAAATGTCTTCCGCCCGCAATGCTCCATCGCTCTTTCTCAAAGTTGTCGAGCTCGGATCTCCCCCTCACATGATTGGACGATGCGCTACCATTTCGCGCTAAGAAAATGATTTGAGCCTCGCCATCTCCAGATATCATCGCCATCTCAAGCAATCGCATCCCTTCGTTCCTTCTGCATCGTGTGATCGGGTCAATCATGTCGAGCTTTTCCAGAGTTTTCCTGCGCACTACGCGCTCTGC